AAAACACATATATATATATATATATATATATATATATATATATATATATATATATAAATAATGCTATTGAACTTGCAATCTCAATCTAGGTGACGTTAAATAATAGGGTGAATGAAATCTGAAATTATTAATGCTACCTATACTGGAGTTGTAAATCCAATGTAGGTAAATAGCATTACTCAAAAAATATACAGAGTTAGGAGGAGCCCAACTTGATCCTTGGTTAATTGCGTAATTAAAGTACATTTACCCTGTTCAAAGACGAAGAATATACTGTAATTAATATGAATAAGCTAAAAGACTACATTTTGAATTCTTGGTCATACTCATCACATAAAGGTAACAGTGATTATGAAGCTATTTCGTAATTACATGTAGTTGTTCTGTTACAACGGATTGGTCATGGTTCATGTCGATTTATCTACAGAGATGAGAACATGGTGAATGAATTTACTTGCTTCTGTGATTGTCTAGCGATGTTTCAACTAGTTAGACTAATTGTATTCTCTCTCTCTCTCTCTCTCTCTTTTTTTTCCTTGCACTCGTTTATAATTATTCAAAATGATCTTTAGTAATGAATGTTTTACCTTAAAGGGGGGAAAAGTATTGTCGTATCTTAAAAATTATTATTTTCATTTTTTATTTAAAACAAACATTTTTAATATCGAAATATATCGTCATTGTAAGTCTTGTTTTTATTTTTTATTTTTTATTTTTTTTATGGGGAAATCTGCAGCCGTTACCTTTCGAGTGCGTACTTAGTAAACCATCGGGTTAACATAATAGCCTGCAAATCACGTCAACCAAATAAACCGCACTAAACAAGTCTGTTGCGACAAGCTCAACTGAGAAAGTGTTAGTAGGGGGAATCGAACTCTTAACTAAAGGCCTCCGCGCTCACCTACTCCACCAATTCAACCACCCCATTAGGGGCCATTGTAAGTCATGTTTGTTACGTAGAGAGGTAGTCAATCAATTATTGTAACATTATTTTAAATCAAATTAATTTGGTCAAAAGCTTTGGACAATATTTGATTTGCATGAACAACTATTATTTAATAGAATATTCATTAAAGTCCAAAAAAACCGGCATCTTCATTTAAGAGCTTCTACAAGGGACATAAAGAAGCTAATACTTAATTAACATTAAGATTTGGGAAAATTGCAGTCGAAGTACCAAATCTTTCGTTTATTAGCAAACTTTGCACAAACTTTTCATTTGTACCACTGAAGGTACCAAACCTTTTAAAAATCCGCACTCGAAGTCCAAATGGATAGAAACCGTCCATTTGACCGTTAGTTGACCAAGAAAAGTAAATTTTGACCTATTTTGACCAAATTGGAATGGGTAAAATGGTAATTTGATAATTACAATATTAAATAAATTGAACAAAAAAAATCAAAAAATCAAGAAAAAATAAAAAAATTAAGAAAATAAATTGAAAAAGGGTTGTCTTCTTCAACCTCCGCACCCCACCCCACCCCACCCCACCCCACCCCACGAATTCGAAAAAAGGGTTGTCTTCTTCAAAATTAGGAATCAAAAACGAAACTTCTACGAAGGTGTAAGGCGTATATATACACAAACAAATCAGCTCACTCCAAGAACCAAACAAAAATCATTACTCCATGCACAGGTCACACATATCTTAATTGCATAAAGAGGATTATAAACTTTGTTTTCTCCTTTTAGAGAGTGCAACAAATGGCTTCTACAGAACCATGGCAGCTAGAAAATGGCAACATCAGATGCCTGACCAAGGAAATGAGGCACGACCATGGCCATGGCCGGACGGCACATAACATGTCTTCTTCGTCTCTGAGGAAAAAATAGGACCTAACCCTTATTTCCAAGGTCCGACTAGGGTTTCTACGAAGTTTTCTGGTTAATTTGCAAGAAGTTTTGTTGGGAACAAAGTTATGGATTTTGTTTCGGGCAATTCCTTCTCCATCGCTACTGATTATAAAAATTTCGGTGCGGTGGGGTGGGTTGGGGTGGGGTGGGGAGGTTGAAGAAGACAACCTTTTTTAATTTCTTTTTTTAATTTTTTGATTTTTTGATTTTTTTTGTTCAATTTATTTAATATTGTAAATTATCAAGTTACTATTTTACCCATTCCAATTTGGTCAAAATAGGTCAAAATTTATTTTTCTTGGTCAACTAACGGTCAAATGGACGGTTTCCATCCATTTGGACTTCAGATGCGGATTTTTGAAAGGTTTAGTATTTCCAGTGGCACAAATGAAAGGTTTGGGCAAAGTCTGCTAATAAACGAAAGGTTTGGTATCTCGACTGCAATTTTTCCTTAAGATTTCAAAACATAAAACTAAACTAAACTAAAAAAATTTCTAGTTCCGTTTATATTTATCAAATGAAAAATTGACTACTTCCAGGTCACTAATTAATAAAGATTTGAATTTAATATGTATTCTACTACGACTCTTTCATGATCAATATATATATGTTAGTTGGCTCTTTTTGCCGAACAAAATTAATGTCTTAACATCGCCAATACCATATTTTAATAAGATCAACCGGCCGAATGATATCCTCACTATGCTATGACGTAAGCAGATTGAATGTCAAAGGCAAGGGATTTCACTTTTTTTCTTCAAATGAGATATATGCGTCACTTTTTATGAGATCCGGCCTCCTCATGCGATTTGTAATCACCATACGCTAATTAGTTTATAATTTAGAATATCGAACTTTGGCTTTATTATTCATGATCAAGTAATTTTTGTTCATGTACGACTTTATAAGGATTGTATATAGCATAATCGATAATATATAGATAAATATTTCTTAGTTATTAATCGGAAAAATTAACATCATGCATGCTCCATACTGCAAGAACTAGCAAAATTTGAGAAACGATGTGTTTTCATTTCATGAGTGCTGAGTACAATATTTTATACTATGGCAAAAAGCAATTATGGGTGACTTGTTATGGTCCCTACTTGCAATAACAACCTTTTATTGAGAACTGGTTGGTCATGTTTAGAATTATTAGCCATACTTATAATATTTGATGATAAATCTAATGTATAAAATTCCATAAAATATCACTCCAATTACATATGAACTTGATGATCAATCTATAAAAATTTTGCTATGTGTACACAATGCATTACACCTCTCTCACATGGAGGGGGGCTCACATGCATTAAAATATTCATGACCCCCCTCCATGTGAGGGGGTGTAATCTGTACACAGAATAATCCAATATATTACTTACATCTAAATTTTTAAATTTAATAAACTATTTGTTATATTATATAAGCTATATTGACTGAAAAAATTGCATCTTTCAAATATTCATATCAATCGATCCTCTTTCAAAAATTTCGACTTAATAAATTTATTTGTTAAAACAGGTCCTAAGAGGAAGTGGATAACTTGACAATTTCAATTCGAATCGAACCTTGTGGTATATTTTCCACGTTCATAGGGGTGTTCACACTTAGAAGAATAAAATTTCTATTTCTTTCATATTTTGCAGTGAAATACCTAGGTACCTAGGCAAGATAGTGTTTCCAATATATATATTTCGTTACTTATCTCAAAAATGTATAATACCATACTGATCCATATCCATTCTTGCTGTTCAAACTAAGAACTAAGAAATATATTTTTAAATTCGATAAAAAAAAAAAAATTGCCTAGTCAAATTCCTGCTGTTCATGCATAACAGAACAAGTAGAGAATAGAAAACTTGTGGCATTTGTTCTCTAACCAAACTGATCAGACATTTCGAAGAAACTTAATAATTAAATACCCCAAAAACAATATGTTGACAAACGAATTCTTAGAATATGTTTTGCCACTTTAAGAATCAAGCTAGAGATTTAACCAAAACTGAATACAAAAAGGAAAAAGAAAAAGAATCAATATGAAGAGAAATCTGGTGATGTCTTCATAGCTTTTCTTCCATCCATAAAATCATGTATTCTTGTGAGTGCAACTTTTAGTGTCTGCTCACTCATATTCGCGAAGCAAACTCGGAACCAACCAGGGTCGGAACAATGGCAAGAAGATCCTGGAGATATATTTAACTTCACTTCATGCAGCATTGATTTCCATAAAGTTAATTCACTTTCCTTTGTAGGCTCCTCCAATAATGGACTTAAATTCATCCAGCAAAATAATCCTGCATTTCCCTTCAAACATTCGATCCCGGAATTTCTCAACCCATCAATAATCATTTGGTACCTTTTCTTGAGTCTTTCGCGATTCGTCTTTATGTAATTTTCCGTAAATGTTTTGTCGGAAAGCATTGAAGCCAAAAGCTGCTGTGTTTGAGAAGAAATCAAAGTGAAACTCGACATTCTTCTTGCAGTTGTAACGACTTTATCATTGTATGAATATATGGTCCCAACTCTGAACCCCGGAAGGCCTAAATCTTTCGACAGGCTATAAACAATGTGAACTCTATCGGATTCTTTGTAATCCCAGGATTCAAGGACTTCTGCGACACTCACAAATTCTTCACCAGAAAATGTTGATCCCGAATAGATTTCATCCGAAACAAGATGAATGTTTTTACGCGTAACGAATTCAAGAATCTCTTCAAGGGTGGATCTTTTTATGGTTGCTCCAAGTGGATTCGATGGATTCGTTATGAGAACTCCTTTAACTTTGATGTTATGTGATTCAGCTTCATTATATGCTGCATCTAAAGCTTGAGGAGTGATCTCAAAATTATTTGAACTATCACAATGAACTGGAACTATCTTAACACCTGTTCTCCAACTTAAGTCTCTGTCAAACCTGTGAAATCATAATAAATTAGTCCTTCGAAAATAAAATTATTTTCAAGATTATTATGTATCTGTGAGTAATTATATTCTTACCCTGGATAGTATGGAGTAGGAATAAGCAAGGCATCTCCAGGATCAGCCAGAATGAAAGTCAATAGCTCATTAGCTGCGGTTGCACCGGCTGTTATAACAAATCTATCAGCATTGAATTTTGCTCTTCCTCCTCTTATTTGTTCCATAAAGCAAGCCATTGCCTGTATGATTTCACAAGGAATGAATAAGTTCATGCAAAATCCTATTTCTGTACTATTGGATAATATTATTTACCTTTCTGAAAGATTGAAGTCCATGATAATCTTGAAATAAAGCGTTATCTCTAAAGCCAGAAGTTCTATTTCCCCAGTTTGTTGCTTCTGAATGTTTTTCCAAGTACTGTTCTAGCAAATCAAATGAAACCTGCACAAGAAATAACAAAAAAAATTTAGAAAAAAATCCAGAAAAAATGCTTTTTTCCCCCTACATAAAATGGCCCTCCAAACTTACTTGATTTTCAGCAAGTCCCATCTGAATAACTCCAGAAGGATTTTTTAATTCATCATAAGGGTCTTCATCATATGCCTTCCACCCTGCAAAATATGGTGAATCTTCTCCATGTGTATCTGAAACTGCAACTTTTGATAAACCCACAGCAGGTTTTTCAATCTCGATTGCCATAATCACAGTGTATAATTCAGCAAGTTACTTTCAAAAAGAGCTACTTGTGTAAAAATGAGTTCAAAAAAGTTCTTGAACTCTAAGAGCTGAAAAGTTCTTGAATTGATTATGAAATTTTTTTGTGAAATGAAGAGCCCTTATATAGTATAAAGAAGGGCCCTCAAAGATGATAATATTCTTACAAAATAAGGGCAAGGGAACCAATTATTGATTCTGTAGACTAAGCAATATCAAAGCTTCTCTATTCCAAAATATATAGTTTTTATTCACTGGCGACAACTGTTGGCTTCTGTCATCATTTCAAGCTTCCAAGCTATATCTCAATCTCCACCATATCCACAGCAAATACGGTGGTTGAGTGGGGAGCAAAATAACTTGTGCTTTTTTCTGGGAAAATACTTGTAACTACTTTATTTGTTCCTTGGTTGACAAATAGAAAAGTGAACTGACGAAAGCAAATAATAATGTGTTTAGGGTAAGGATAGATCAGATATGGACATATGGGATTATGTAAAATTATGGGTTTTTTTTTTTCTCACCAGAATATATTCTTTCTGCCTTCCTTCAAAGAAGACAAAAAATTAAACTAGGGGTCTCCAATCTTTCGAAATAGAGCAATTAAGTCCCCACATTTCAATTGTAGTATTTCGATCAACTAACTTTCTAGTCACAACTAAGATTCCATATAAAAATAGGCCAAATAGGCAATTTTTAGAAGTAAAGGCCTCCATCAGGTATCTTCTTCCACCAATCGCAAGGTTGTGGGATAAGGATTTCACGATTCCAATGGGGAAGAGTTAACATGTTTGCAGCTACAATATGTGCATTAATAACACTGCAATATATTCTCAATAACTTTGTTCAAAGATGAACCCAACAAAAATTTCAAAACACTGTATAAACTTTCGTTTGCATGAAACAAATGACACATATATGATATATCAGAGTAGGGTACAACAAGTATCGATTGAGGAGGGGATCATGAGATTGGACCTATACCACATTGTGGTGAAAGTGGTCTTTTGATTTTTTAAGATAGAATCTCAAGTCTTAATATTAAAGTTTATTAAGCTTAAACAAACAATTCTATATAATTAAGCCTCAAACAAGAACACAAACTAAAAAATTGGCACTCTTAGAAATTGAGTCACTGTCTTGCATACACGTTGAAAGATAAATTCCAAATTGAATGAGCTGAAAATATTATCTAACATATAATTGACTTCTCCGTTTAAAAAGCTTGACATTTTAAGATAGAATTCAAAATCTTATTATGATCTAATCAGAAATTTAAGACATCTACTCCCATATATCTCCTATTCAGATTAACGACCATGAGTAGCGCTTCACAAAACATGTTCGATATGACGACTTGCATCTTGGGAAGTGCACTCAAGTCCAAACCATAAGATGAATATATTACCTCACATATAAGAGCATCTCTAATAGACTATCTAAATGCAAAATGCTATTTACTTTTGAAGAAGAAGAAGATGACGGCGGAATAACCTAGTTGCACCAGGTTTTTAGATTTAAAACCCTAGAGAAATTGTATCCAAGTCCCCCAAGTTTTGGAAACAAATTAAAAGGGTCCCAAAAGTCTTTTTTATTTTTTATTTTTATTAATTCCGATGCCTAGGCACTGTGAGGTGGCGCCGAGCGTCAATTCTCTGGCCAAAATAAGAAATTGGTTTCATTTTGCTACCATGTCGCCCATATAATTGCATATCAGGTCCCTCAACTTTGATCTTGTACAATTCCTTAGATTTTGACTTTCATATAATCATGCCCTCTATAAATTTCATAGGTAATCCTCCAACTTTCTATAATTGTACATTTTGGTCCCCAACTTCACAAATTTTGTACACTTTTAATCTTTTTCTCTCCTTTTGCCTTTGTCCTCTTTCCTTATGGAGTTAACCTACAAAAGCAATAATAACACAATTGTGAATAGAAATTCGCTCAGTTTAATCAATAATTATTCACATGCGTTCCGCATAGGTCTCACTCTCATGTAGTATAAATCAACAAGAGTGTCAATTTTTTTCTGACAAAGAAGTTTTATTCATATGTATGTGATGTTGTGCATAAAATCTTCATTAGCAAGTGGATCATGCTACTTGAACAGAGAATTTTATTTATTTTAATTCTATGTTAAACTACTTTATATAAAAACACAAATTTATTTATACTTTATCTTCGATGCTGATTCTTTGTTTCGACGCATTGTTTGATTGATTGAATTGACTCCTAAACATGCACAAAACGAGATCATAATTATTGCATAACTGTGAACTGCTAATAATTGAAAAAATCTGTAGTAGTTAAGTTCAAACTGAGAGAGATACTTTAGATCCTGATTTTGCATACATAAACAAAAGAAATTAGAACCTTATGAGAATATATCATGGCCCCACTCGCATGTTAATCATAAACAACAGAACTTATGACTTACTTAGAAAGTTAAAGATATGTTAATCAAGATACTAAATATTAATCATTTTCTTATATTAATCAAGGTACTATATGTATATAGACACACACACACATCTTTCAAGTCAATGGAAAAACTCTCATAAACTATATTGGCATAAGGTGGAGTATATGTACAAAACATTACTAAGTATGAAGCCCTTGTTTCTTTTGGCTAAAAATCAAAATTTTAGTGAATTTCGATAAAAGTTGATAAAATACGAGGTTGAAAAGTTTGTAAAAATTGTGGATTCTTAAAAATATGTGATGAAAATGAATTTGAGAAAAAATAAATTTAAAATTGGGGCCAACATGGACAAAATGTCTTATGTCTTGTGTTCCAAATATCTCTTGTTCAAGAATGGTAGCATCGAGCTTCTTGATCCTACTTGTGATAATCAGTTCTATTTTTTTATTGGAGAAATATTCAGTTACGAAATATCATCTTGACGTTGTGAAAATCATCGATTTGATCTGGACTTTTTTTTTTTTTGTACATAATTCAAGAGGTATTATATATACCACATGGAATCTTGACCCATGACGAGAAGGGTGATATACCATTAAAATCTTTAAAAAGGTATTGATTTCCAACTTATGAATAAAACAATGGATGCAAGAGTACTTTCTAGAATCTAAAAGTAAAAAATAATCACAAATGATTGAAAGATGACATGGTTCGATGGGGAAAATATCATAAAAATCCATGTGCAAGAGTTTAATATAAGATTTTCCATTGATAAATGTTATCATAATGAGAGCATGAAAAAAGAGCGATGAGATGATTGACTGTTAGGCCATATTTAAATCCTATGAATAGATATGTATCATGCAAATGACTATAACACGTAACAAAGATCTCTCTCTCTCTCTCTCTCTCTCTCTCTCTCATTGGGGAACCCATTTATTAATCAAAATCGTCAATACGAAAGACAAAAAGAATACAACCTATCTACACTAGCTATCATAGCCATAGATGCAAATTCATAGAATACCATATTCCAAGTTCTAGAAATAAAGTGACAATACAAGCAATTTACATCAATTCAAAGTGAGTCAAACACAAGACTATGAACCACGTGCAAGAAATCTCTCTCAAACACCTCCAACTCGAACTCATTTTCCTTAAAGATAATCAAATTGCCTATAGAAACCCTCAAAATAATATGAATAAATACACAAAATATACACATACGCATGAAGCATTGATCGTTGTCATGGGAAATCATATGATATATTGGCAGATCACCAACCAGGTAGTGTCTTTGATAGTCACCAATGATAGTAGATAGGAGTTCTATCACTTGCTAGCAGTGGATGTCAACTAAAGTTTTCCGAACATTACATAATTGAGACAGTGGTAGTTGAAGTATAATTTTATCCAATGAAATATATATATACCATAGGAAAATTCAAGCATGCTTCACGTATAGCATTTTTTACATATTTTTGATAGACACTCACATCACATGAGTGGGTTCCATGATTAAAATATTCGTGGGGCCCACTCGTATGAGTGGGCTGTCATGCAGATGATCAGAGCCGGACCTGATAGGAGGCCCAAGAGGCCTCCGCCTCAGGCCCAGCTTTTTAGGGGCCCAAAATTTTCCCCTTTCATTTTTTTTTTCAATAAAGTCCAGCCCCAGTAGCCCATTTATCTTTCAAAACCTCCTAGAAGCTCGAGAAATCAGTGCAACGATTGGTATCCATTTTATTCTCATTTTTTCCTATTTTTTCCAACCTTTAGTCAACCACTGTGGGCCCCCTATCAAAAAAGTAAGAGACCAACTTGACAAAACGTGAGGCCGCATTTAATCCTCATGACATTTGAAATTTTGATTTTTTGGCATTCCATTTTTGTCCTCCCATCATAATTTTATTACTTTCATACCCTGCCCTTCACTTTGGAATTGTATTTTTTCGCTGAGGGCAAACTGGTTCAAAAATTTTAACGGGATGATAGTCTCTGTCCGTTTCTGACACTTGGCTGCATGTGTCGAGCAGTCTTCAGATTATTACTGTAGCAAAATGAGAATTGGCTGAAATCCATATAAAGTAATAAAAATTTTATCAGGAATTTTTACGTCCAAAAAAATAAAATTTTTTGACACATACTAATAAAATGATGTAAATTATATCGAAAAATTTGTCGCGCAAAAATAATAAACATTAATAAAATAATTGATTTCTTTTTTTAAAAAAGACGAGTTATACGTTCTTTTTGACACATACGTTTGACTTACGTTTATCGATTTTCATATTCGTTTCGATCATTCGATATGTCTACGATATAGTTCTCGAAATGAGCTTTGAGATGATATAGAAGATTTAAGTATTCGATCAGCGTACAATTATCAACGAATTTTTAAAGTTGGCATCTTATCGAAAATCTCGAAATTGTAGTTTGGAACGACTACTTTGACGCGTCGTAACATTTACTACGGTTGTCCGTTTCGCGCACCGTTAACGACGTAAAATACTAGGCGATGAGTACTTCAAAATGATATTAAGATTGTGATATTTCGACATCATATGATATCCCATAATGAGTCCGAAAATTAAGACAAACACATGAGAAATTATAATGAATTTATTGGTCTTTTCCTTTTCCACCAGCACCCTTTCCTTTTTCCTTCCACCACACGATGACACGTGTCATCTTTTTGAAATTCTGTAAGACCCCTGTAAGAAACCATCTGTACGCGTAGCTTAATCTGAAAAATTTTGGCATGAATGAGTATCAAACAGGCTATAAATATTAAATTCTAAATTTTTTCTCCCGTCGTTCACTTTCTTGCAGCAAGCACAATACCACAAATTGACATTACTTATTCATTTATAATGTTATGTGAAAAAGGGTTGTAATGAGATTATAAGAGAGCAATTTTCTTATTTGATGAATTGCGCGTGCGTGGGTTCACTAG